GAACAACTTCGCACGCAGTATGGAAGAAAAAAAAATACAAAAGGGTCCTTCTTAACCTCCGGTAAAAATAAAAATAAAAATAAAAATAATTAGCTGTATAGTAATTAATTGACTCGCGTTTTAACGAAAGTGGTTGACTTAAACAGCAAAAGAGACCCACAAATGCAGTAGGTATATAAATGAGAAGAGTAAGAGGAGAAGAAAAGAAAATTAATTTTAGAAAAAGAAAACGAAGAAAAAGAAGCAGAGGTTTTCTTCTCCGTCGACGGTGAGTGCTCTGCACAGATCAAGGCAGTTAATCTATCAAAATCAGACGGTTATGAAGCAACCACGTACGCGAGTAAAGGTATGTTGTTGCCGTTTTAAGTTAGTTAGAGACAACCATAACCTCATTGCTCTGTAACTGGTTGCTCTATTTATTCTTCCTCTTCAAGTCTGCAACATCTTCTTCCCGTGTGTGCAACCATGACTATTGGTCGATTCAGAGCATATATTAAAATTTTGACCACTGATGTTCAACGTGCAGATGCTATTTCAAGGAGGATCCCTAGAAACTGTAGCAATTCTGAAATCCGAGAGTGCCTCCATGAAAGCCATAGAGACGACATACTTGTCTATACTCTCCCTTGCGACAGAAGAGATCTTTCTGAAAAATTTTGTTACCGCCACAGACATCGAGTTATACGAAGATCCTAATTTCACAATCCATTTTTATGAATTTATCTTTTAACAATTCCCAAAAGTTTATAATGGTAATGTCATGTTGTATGGTACTATTAGGAGGAAATGAAAATAAATTTGCTTAGTATTATTAAATTTCAACTTGACACCGCCAAAACATGCAATTATATAACAATAGTATTACATAAACCAAAAACTAAAAATGCTCTTTTTCATTTTTGATTAATAAAAAAATTAAAACTCCCTCCGTTTCAAAATAAGTGTCTTATTCTAAAGTTTTATTTAGTTCCATAAAAAGTCTCACCTTACATTTTTAATGCATAATTTTGAATAATTATCCAGTTTTAACCTTTGATTTTTATTGTTTTATTAGAAAGAGAATGTTATTTTGTGCGTGAACAAAGGATAAAACAAAACTTTTAATGATTTTCTTAATTTGTGTGAAAAATGTCAAAGTGACACATATTTTGAAACAGAGGGAGTAATTTTTTGTATTTGGAATTCTCGTAAACAAAAAAGTCGAACATGCTTGGCGGCAATAGTCAAAACCAAAAGACAAAGAGTAAAATGAAAAACTGATTATCTTTCTTTGTTAGCGGATGATTCGAATTAGTGTCTATAAGTGGAGTAATTAATAGCTAAGAAACGGTCAAATAACTAATTTTGCTAACATAAATAACAAATAATACACCTAATAATTACATACAAGAACAACTTCACATAATACAAAATGGTCCTTAATAACCTCTGATAAAAATATGAATATAAATATAAATAATTAGCTGTATAGTAATTCATTGACTCGTGTTTTAACGAAAGTGGTTGACTTAAACAGCAAAAGGGACCCACAAATGCAGCAGATATCTAAATGAGAAGAGTAAGCGGAAAAGAAAAGAAAATTGATTTTAGAAAAAGAAAATGAAGCAGAGGCCTTCTTCCCTGTCGACAATGAGTGCTATGGACGGATATCAGCAGTTAATCCGTAAATATCGGACGGTCCTGAAGCGACCATGTACGTGAGTAAGGGTATGTTGTTCCTGTAAGATAGCAACCAAAACCTCATTGCTTTGTTACTGTTTCTTCTATTTATTCTTCCTCTTCCTGTCTGCAACATCTTCTTCCTGTATGTTCAACCATGGCTATTGGTAAATTCAGAGCATAGATCAACATTTTGACCACTGATGTTCAGCGTGCAGATGCTATTTCAAGGAGGATCCTTGAAAACTGTAGCGATTCTGAAATCCGAGATTGCCTCCACGAAAGCCACAGAGACGACATACACGTCCTTGCGACAGAAGAGAACGGGTTCATCTTTCTAAAAATTTTTGTTATCACCACAGACATCCAGTTATATGAAGATCCTAATTTCACAAGCCATTTTTATGAATTTATCTTTTAACAATTCCTATAAGTTTATAATGGTAATGCCATGTTGTATGGTACCATTATGAAGAAATGAAAATAAATTTGCTTAGTATTATTAAATTTCAATTTGACACGACCAAAACATGCAATAATATAATAATAGTGTTACATGAACCAAAAACTAAAAATGCTTTTTTTTATTTTTGATTAATAAAGAAAATTAATAATTTTTGGTATTTAGAATTCTCGTAATTAAAAAAGTCGAACATGCTTGGTGGCAATAATGAAAACCAAAAGACAAAGTGTAAAATGAAGAACTGATTTTCTTTCTTTGTTAGGGGATGATTCGAATTAGTGTATATATGAGGAGTAATCAATAGCTAAGAAACGGTCAACTAACTAATTTTGTTAACATAAATAATATGCCTAATAATTACATACGAAAACAATTTCGCACGCAGTATGAAAGAAAGTCAATACAAAAGGTCCCTTCTTAACCCTAGCAAAAATATAAATAGAAATATAAATAATTAATTGTAGTAGTGAGTGAGCTGGAAAGGTTCCGTCTTTCCGGGGAAATTCAAGAGAGCTAGCTTCGGTCTTAAATGACTCGCGTTTTGACGGATGTGGTTGACTTAAACAGCAAAAGGGACCCACTGGTGCAGTAGATATATAAATGAGAATAGTAAGTGGAGGAGAAAAGAAATTAATTTTAGAAAAAGAAGCAAAGGTCTTCTTCCCCGTCGACGGTGAGTGCTCAAGATGGATCTCGGCGGTTAATATGTGAAAATTAGACGGTCGTGAAGCGATCACGTACGTGAGTAAAGGTGTGTTGTTTCCGTTTTAAGTTAGTTATAGACAACCAAAACCTCATTGCTCTGTAACTATTTCCTCTATTTCTTCTTCCTCTTATTGTGTGCACCATCTTCCTGTTCTGTGTGCAACCATGGCTATTAGCCGATTCAAAGCATAGATTAACATTTTGACCACTAATGTTCAGTGTGCACATGCTATTGCAAAGAGGATACTTGGAAACTGTAGCGATTCTGAAATATGAGAGTGCCTACACGAACGCCACATAAACGACATACATGCCCTTGCGACAGAAGAACACAGGTTCATCTTTCTGAAGAATTTTGTCACCGCCACAGTCATTCAGTTATATGAAGATCTTAATTTCACAAGCCATTTTTATGAATTTATCTTTTAATAATTCCCAAGAGTTTATAATGGTAATGTCATGTTGTTTGGTTTTGTTAGGAAGAAATGAAAATAAAAATTTGCTTAGTATTATTAAATTTACACGTGACACTGCCATAACATGCAATTATATAATAATAGTATTACATGAACCAAAACCTAAAACTGCTCTTTTTCGTTTTCTATTAATAAAGAAAATCAATAATTGTTTGTATTTGGAATTTTCGTAATTAAAAAAGTCAAACATGCTAAGCGGCAATAGTGAAAACCAAAAGAAAAATAGTAAAATGAGGAACTGATTATCTTTCTTTGTTAGTGGATGATTCGAATTAGTGTATATCTGGAGAGTAATTAATAGCTAAAAAAGGGTCAAGTAACTAATTTTGTTAACATAAATAATACGCCTATTAAGTACATACGAGACAACTTCTCTCGCGGTATGAAAGAAAATAAATACAAAAAGCCTTTCTTAACCTCTGATAAAAATATAAATATAAATAGAAATAATTAGCTATAGTAATAATTAATTGACTCGCGTTTTGACGGAAGTGGTTGACTTAAACAGCAAAATAGACCCACAAGTGCAGCAGATATGTATATATATATATATATATAAATAAATGAGAAGAGTAAGCGGAGGAGAATAGAAAATTAATTTTTGAAAAAGAAAATGAAGAAAAAGAAGCAGAGGTCTTCTTCCCTGTCAATGATGAGTGCTCCGGATGGATCTCGTCTAATCCTTCAAAATCGAATGGTCCTGAAACGACCACATACGTGAATAAAGGTATGTTTTTCCCATTTTAAGTTAGTAAGAGACAACTAGAACCATATTGCTCTGTAACTGTTTCCTCGTTTCCTCTATTTATTCTTCCTCTTATTGTGTGCAATATATTCTTCTTGTTTCTGCAACCATGGCTATTAGACGATTCAAAGCATAGATTAACATTTTGACCACTGATTTTCAGCGTGCATATGCTATTTGAAGAAGGATACTTGGAAACTGTAGCGATTCTGAAATTAGAGCCTCCACGAAATCCACAAAGATGATATACACGTCTTTGTGACAGAAGAGAACGGGTTCATCTTTCTGAAGAATTTTGCTACCGCCACATACATCAAGTTATATGAAGATCCTAATTTCACAAGCCATTTTTATGAATTTATCTTTTAATAATTTCCAAGAGTTTGTAATGGTAATGCATGTTGTTTGGTACAATTTGGAAGTAATGAAAATAAATTTGCTTATCATTTTTAGGTTCCAACGTGACACTGATAAAACATGCAATTATATAATAATAGTATTACATGAACCAAAAACTAAAAATGCTCTTTTTCATTTATGGTTAATAAAGAAAATTAATATTTTTTTTTTGTATTTTGAATTCTCGTAATTAAAAAAATCGAACGTGCTTGGCAGCAATAGTCAAAACCAAAAGAAAAAGTGTAAAATGATGAACTGATTATCTTTCTTTATAGCGAATGATTCGAATTATATAGGTAGTAATTAATAACTAAGAAACAGTCAAATAACTAATTTTGTTAACTTTAATAATACGCTTAATAATTACATACGAGAACAACTTCGCACGCGGTATGAAAGAAAATAAATACAAAAGGGTCCTTCTTAACCTCTGATAAAAAATATAAATATAAATGTAAATAAATAGTTGTAGTAGTAATTAATTGAGTCGCGTTTAAACGGAAGTTGTTGACTTAAACAGCAAAAGGGACCCACAAGTGCAGCAGATATGTAAATGAGAAGTGTGGGTGGAGGTGATAAGAAAATTAATACTAGAAAAAGAAATTGAAGAAAAAGAAGCAGAGTTTTTCTTCCCCGTCGACGGTGAGTGCTTCGGACGGATCGCGGCGGTTAATCTGTCTATATCGGATGGTTCCAAAGCGACCACATACGTGAGTAAAGGTATGTTGTTCCCGTTTTAAGTTAGTTAGAGATAACCAGAACTCCGTTGCTCTGTAACTGTTTTCTCTATTTCTTCTTCCTCTTCGTGTGTGCAACATCTTCTTCCTGTGTGTGCAACCATGGCTATTAGTCGATTCAGAACATTTATTAAAATTTTGACCACTGAAGTTAAGCGTGCATATGCTATTTCGAGGAGGATACTTGGAAACTGTAGCAAGTCTGAAATATGAGAGTGCATCCACGAAAGCCACAGAGACGACATACATGTCCTTGCAACAAAAGAGAACAAGTTCATCTTTCTGAAGAATTTTGTTACCGCCACAGATATCCAGTTATATGAAGATCCTAATTTCACAAGCTATTTTTATGAATTTATCTTTTAATAATTCCCAAGAGTTTATAATGGTAATCCCATGTTGTTTGGTACTGTGAGGAAGAAATGAAAATAAATTCTATTTAGTATTATTAAATTTCAACGTAACGCCGCCAAAACATGCAATTATATAATAGTAGTATTACATGAACCAAAAAAAATGCTCTTTTTCATTTTTTTGTTAATAAAGAAAATCAATAATTGTTTGTATTTGGAGTTCTTAGTGGCAACAGTGAAAACCAAAAGAAAAAGAGAAAAATGGGGAACTGATTATCTTTCTTTGTCAGCGGATGATTAGAATTAGTGTATATATAGGGAGTAATTAATATCTAAAAAGCGGTCAAGTAACTAATTTTGTAAACATAAATAATATGTATAATAATTACATACGAGAACAACTTTGCACGCGGTATGCAAGAAAATAAAGAGTTATTTACCTAGAATAACCTTATAAAATGGGTATTGACTAGAATAACATCATTTTACAACTGACTAACTAAAATAACCTTACAAAGTTGTGCAAAGACATCAAAATCCAAATTTTGGATATAATAACGAAAATGCCATTTTGATAAAAAAAATGATCAAAAATAATAAAATTGATAAAAGAAAGATTTTTGGAAAAAAAAAGTAAAACAACAAAACCTTAAAAAAAGACACAGCTCGCGAAGGGAGGGAGATTTTGTGCCGGATTTGAAGAAACTGACTCAATCTCCGATTACGGCGGTGAAGAGCACCGACGGTGGAGCAAAAGTAGAGCTCCCGAGCTTCTTGGACCTGCGACGGCGGTGCCTACATCTTCTCACATGGCGGCGTCTCCTTACGACAGACGGCGGCGCCTCCTTAAGACGGACGGCGAGAACTGCTTTGTTTCACGGTGAAAGAGTTTTTTGACGGCTGATTTGTTTCATGGCGACTGAATTGTAAGACCCTTCACCGTCGATTTGTCTCCATTTGTAGATCTATGGTTTTTTTTGATGGTAACATTGGTTTTGGATTTGTATATCTAGATTATTGTCGAAGTTTATAACCAGAATTTTGTTTTTATTTAGCAGAATTCCGGCGAGGACAAGGAGTAGAAGGCGACGGAATCCAGTGAGGATAGAGAAAGTGCTTGGTAAAGGTAACCAGATAAATTTATTTGATGGTAGACATTTAATTGGTAGACTTATTAGCTTATTATTGGTCAAATTTGTTGTTTTGGTAGACTTATTGTTAACTTTCTCAATGGACTATTTGTTTTTTTTCCTTTCAGTTAACAGAGATCCGGTGAGGACAACAACGAGTAGGTGACAGAATCTGGTGATTATTGAGAAAGTGAACCGCGAAAAGGTAACTAGATTTTCATTTTTTTCTGTTTTTAGTTATTATAAACATGCTGGTTTGGTGGTAGACTTGTTTTGTGATGGTAAACATGATGGTCAACTTGTTTTGGCGATGGTAAACATGATGGTAGACTTGTTTTGTGATGGTAAACGTGTTGGTAGACTTGATGGTTGTTTGGTGGTAGACTTAATTTCTCTGTGGTGGTAGACTTGTTTGTTTGCTCGATGACTTATTTTCTATGTGGTGGTAGACTTGTTTATGTTGTTTTCAGTTATTGTAAACATGCTGATTTAGTGGTAAACTTGTTTTGCGATGGTAAACATGATGGTAGGCTTGTTTTGTGCTGTTTTCAGTTATTGTAAACATGCTGTTTTAGTTGTTTAATTGTTTTGCGATGGTAAACATGATGGTAGACTTGTTTTGTGATGGTAAACGTGTTGGTAGACTTGATGGTTGTTTGGTGGTAGACTTAATTTGGCTGTGGTAGACTTGTTTGTGATATATGTGTTTACTTTTGTAGCTATTGGATGGCATCTTCAAGTGGGAAGAAGCTGAAATACCCACCCCGATTGTTTCCCCCGGGGAAATCTCCTGTTCAGAAGAGGAGTTTGAACAACTATTGCCATTTGACGGATTTTTAGATGTTGAAGGAGGCTGTTGGTGAGGAGGTCTACAATGTCATAAAGAACAATTCTCAAGTAGGAGTGGTATTGAGTCTTGCAGAGAAGAAGTACATATGGGCAGCAAAAACGGTCCATAACATGGTAACAAACCAACTGGCTATTGATCGAAGTTACGAGATTTGGTCACTTATCAGTGGGCGTCCAGTGCGGTTTTCGCTTCACGAGTTTGAAGTGATAACCGGGCTCAACTGTCAGCCCGTTGGGGATGAGCCGTGGGACATAGATCACCACGAGTTCTGGGAAGAGCTTGGCGTGAATGCAGGTCTAGGGCCAAATTGGCATGAGTTGGTTGAGGTATTTGAAAGATGCAAAACTTGGTCATATCAGAAGAAGAAGATGGTTGCGCTTCTGTTCATACTGCACGTTGGGATATTCGGTATTAATCGGAATAGTCGACTTTCTTTGAACTGTGCGAAGAGAGTTATGGATGATGAAGCTTTTGAGAGTTATCCATGGGAGCGTGTGGGTTTTAAGGAGATGATTATGTCCATCAAAGTGGCATCTTTGGGAGGAAACAGCTACACCTTTCATGGATGTGCGCATGCATTGCTTATATGGGTGTATGAGCCAGTTCCGATTTTGGGAGAAAAATTTAGCAAACTTGAGAATAATCCGCTCACTTTACCGTGTCCCCTACTTCGTTGGCGTTCGTCTAGGGACAGATACATTCTTGAGAAAGTTTTGGAGGAAGAAAAAAGCAGATTCGATGACAAAAAGGTATGTTTTCCTTACATATGTAGTATTTTGGTAGTTATAACATTAGTTATCGTTAAAATACTTATGGTGGTAGATATGATTGAAAGTATATTAGATTTTCATTTCATTTTACTTATGTGGCTAACTTGTTAGTATCACTTGTGGTAGACATTTTAGTATTAGACATATATAGATATATACGTGGTGGTAGACTTGTTACTTGTGGTAGACTTTTTAGTATTAGACATATATATAAGTGGTGGTAGACTTGTTACTTGTGGTAGGCTTGTTACTAAGTATTACTTGTGATAGATATATATATACGTGGTATACTTGTTAGCATTATGATTTTGACTTATGTATCTTTGTCTGCAGATTAGGGTGAGGCATCTAGTCGAGGTTCCTCGAGAGGATATATATCCGTTTTGGCCAGATGAGGAGTCAACACCAGACGTGGATCTGAAGCTTCACAATATGCTAACTAATATTCTCGATGGATGTTTAGATGAGACAGTTTGGGAGGAGACAGTTGACAGCAATTCAAAGGAGAAGGAGAAGGGGAAGGATAAGAAAAAGGGGAAGGAGAAGGAGAAGAGGGAGAAGAAGGGGAGTAAGAAGAAGGAGGAGAAGAGTAGTGTTGAGGGAAGTGATAATTATTTTGTCGAAGTGCCTAAAAGGACGAAGAAGCGACATGAAGAAAGTGCCTCGTGTGAGAAGAAGAAAGAAAAAAAGAAAGTGACGGTGATGGAGGCGGAGAGTAGTGAGGATGAAGAGTTGGACATGCCGGTAGGTCAGTTTGTTGAGAAGGTAAAGAAGAGGATAACGACGCAGGAGAATAGTAGTGAGAGAGATGCGCTTTTACAGGAAATTAAGGTATTATCTTCCAAAATTGACGCTATAGACCAGAGGGTGACTACATTTGTGTGTGGGGTTAAAGACAATGTTCAGATTCCGGAAGAGGCAGAACCTAAGGGAGCAAATCTGGCTGGAGATGCCGAATCCAAAGCAGATGAACCCGCGGTTACGAAGGATCGGGTACGCAAGTCTCTCTTCTAGGGTGTTGTATTTTTATGCATTTTGAAACTAGTAATGGTAGACTTTTTGGACCAAAGTTTGCAGATTTGTAGTATCTATTTCCTCTGTTTATTATGAACTATGGTCTTTCAGATGTTTAAATTTCTTGTATTTCATATTTGACAAGTTTGCTGAATAAGAATTTTGCTTAAAATAATGCTTAAAATTTTAAATAAGTTTAAATTTTTTATAACAAATCTACCATTGAAATGATAAGTCTAAAACAATGTACTAATTGGGTTATGGTTCAACAGTCATGGACTGTGGAGATGCAGGATACGTCTGATCCTCAGTTTCCAAAAGCAACAGTGAGTAGGAATCCGAAGATCAAAGTTAAGATCCTCCGTAAAGTGAAAGTAGAAGGCTGTGAGGGTGAGGCGAAACCGACGGAGGTTATTGATGATCAAGCATATGTGACGCCTCAACGAGAGCAAATTAAGATTCCACAGCTGGTTGATGAACCTGACGACCCAAAAACTCCTAGCGTTGGAGAGGCTTATGGCACTTCCCACCGTCATTGACCAAGAATCCGGCAAAAAGCCAAGACCCCGTGTCATTTCGCACACTCAAAACTCACCATTTTCAGGGAGTTCTGTTGTGCGTAGAATGATGGGTGCTGTATCTCATGGGAAGGCTCATTACAACCCATTTGAGTAGGTCGAACAGCGAAAGTTAAATTGCTTGCTCCAATACATCAAGGAAGATTTGTAAGTGTTTTGATCTTCGTCTTGCATTTAAAGGATATTATTCCTCTTCATTAAATTAGTAGATTGTTATTTAAGAACTTCCCTAGAGTAAGTGTTCTAAATTATTGTATTAGAGAAAACCCGTTTGACGAATCAATTGCAGGGGTTGATTTCTACATGGTTGATTAGGGAAGATATTGATGTATTGTACATCGCCCACAACATCGACAATGCACATTGGGTGGCTCTAGAGGTAGAATTTTCAAAAAGGAAGATTAGAGTATTTGATAGTGTCCGTTGGTTATACGATGACAGGTACATTTGAATTTGATAGTGCTAATTCACATTGGTTATAGTGTCCATTTAAATTTTTTAAGAGTATGATTCGAGTA